ACCATTGGTATGCAGAGCGCCACATTGTTACGATTAGGACCCGCAATGGTTTTGATAAAAATCTGCTGTATTGTAAATCCCCCGATCTGTGAGGTACTTTCTTCTCCAGGTCACCCCCAGACTGCTCAGGTCACACAGACAAATAAGAAAAAAACTGTCCAGCAGTCACAAGGTCCGCCCATGCAGGGTACATGGAGAACCTAAACAACGCTATCAACACTTAGAATGATATCAGCTTTGATATCCACTTTGAAGTGTTCTGATCAGATCATGCGGTCAAAGGTACTTGAAGGTCAATCTAGAGCAAACATTTGCAGGGAGAGCCTGAAATATGTTGCTGTACTTATTGGTACAATGAAGAAATAGCCAGAGGTGGACACAGCCAAAACATGAGCAGTTTCTCCTGTAAGTCAATGCTTTTATTTTGACAAAGTAATATATAGCCTCCAGTGCCTGAAAAGGAATTTGACACCTATTGTCACCTGAACAAGCAGTGCATGTGGACAACAAATGGCCTTGTTCATTTTAGTCTAAACACAAGGATTCACCCCAGTTCACTAAATCCTCTTCTCCCTCCCAGTGTGTCCCTGGAAGCGGAGTGAACTGGGTTAGGGTTATATAACCGGTGTCTGCTCTCATAGATTCTCAGTGGCTCATCTTCCCCTAATCTTTTCAGCTTGATTACACTGTCCATCCCCCTCCTTTGCCAGCTCATTCAACTGAGAGTGTTCTCACACACAAGCACATCCACAGAGGAACACATGAACAGAGCGCCAGGATTCGCCACACTCCGGTTTAGAGCGGATGGGATGCTTATGATTGCAGGTGTGACTATGTGCATGGCTACAGCAGTGTTTTGCCAACATCTAATTATTACAAACAAGATGACATGCGGTGGCTGCATGCAAGGTCCGCTGTGTATGTGTTTGTCGCCTTACACCTCAAATTTCCAGCTATTTACAGGTGTTAAAATGGCATTTTATCATGACAAACACATTACTGCAGCTGTGTGAACAAGAACAATGTTAAAATCTTCCTTAAGATGTCAACAAAAAGGGACTGTACACTGATAATGTCTGACATACTAACAGCTTTGTCAGTGGTTTTGTAACACACAGTGGTGTTGAAAAAAGATAGTGGAAATGTTCCTGCAATTCATCAATATGGATGCAACAAATAGAGTATTATGAAAGAGACAAACTGGCACTGTCAACATTTACTACAGTTTGTTTAAAGCACACCTGTGCCTCCGTGTTTTTTTATACTTTTTCGAAGAAATCAGACATATTTCTTTGTTCTTGCTGTTTGCTAAACATCATAAGCTGACATTTTGCCAGGGCACATTTGATAGCTGCAGTATAAAAAATCCAGGTCAAAAGATTAGACATTTTGTCTACTGAAAGCATTTATCATTACCCATCATTTGGCATGAAACTGTCATGACCAAACAATATATGCAATAAGTGTAACTTAATTTAGCAACAAGGAAGTCTGCATTCATGTACCATTGAACTGTAAACCTCCCCCCAGTTGTTAAACGCAATAGAAAGTCCAAGGGAAAGTGATTATTTACTGGAAATCACGGCGTTTCCCACTTAAAGTGTAAAGTTAAAAGTACTCTTTGGGTATAATTAGACATGGAGGTTCAAAGGGCAGAGGTTGATTTCCATTTGGTCCCTGTTTTTGTGACAAGTAAGCTTAACTGAAGTGGTAAACCATGATCTCACTTCATGACCTTTGCCCATAAACGTAAATATTCTCCTCAGGCTTCAGCTTGTCTACAAAGCTGTACACCAGCAAAAGGAAATAAATCTCTAGCTTCCAGCAGGCTAAATATTTAATACATTTTATGAGTCTCTTCAGTCAAGATCGAAGGGCAAAAGATGCAAGAAGGCAACATGTTTGACAGCAGTCCCATGGGAAATGTTTTGTGTAATGCAACATAAACCTGGAGGCAGTTAAAAAGTGGAGATGGAGTGAAGGAGAGAGAGAGGGGTTCAGTGGAAGAGCAATTTAATACTTTACTTGTCTTCCCAAAATATTAACTACTCTGGTGCAGGTTTAATCAGAGAAGGTCCCATTATGTACTGCCAGCATATGATAGCCTCACTGGGCTGAGATTCCTGCCTGGCTCATTGAGTAACAGTGACTGGCCTCACCCACCATCTGCTGCTTCAAACTCTTAACGACAGTCTTCTACAGTACCTCTTGCTTGCTATACCTATGTAGAAATGGGCCAGACACAACTGTGTTGCTGTTATATAATGAAACCAAAGTAAACAGGATTTTTATATTGTTACAACATCTCCGCCACCACCTAAATCCCTGTAACTGTTGATATTTTACATTGCCAACCACTGGACATTTAACCCACACTGCTAGTTTAAATATAATCTCATCGAACATTCAACTGTTAACCAGAACCTCAGCAGTTCTTGGAGCCTCTCTGAATGAAAAATAGATCTTGAGGTCAGATTGTCATCTGTGAGCTGTTTCAGAAAGTAGGGCACTCCAGACCTATGCCTTCATCATGTCCTGAGAACAAGGGAGCTTTATCAGCATTATGGCTATTCAAAATTAGTCTTTCTAAGCTTTATCAGCATTATGGCTATTCAAAATTAGTCTCTCTAAGCTTTATCAGCATTATGGCTATTCAAAATTAGTTTCTCTAAGCAACGATGTTATTAGTGCTGCCAGTTGTGATAGAAACCAACTCAGCCAGAGATAAAAAAAAAAACTCTTCTAGAAAATCATGTTGACACTTTTGAAAGCAACAAATAGTTTCCAATAATTTTGCACACAAATCATCTCTGTGCAGTTTGCAAAGTCATCAAAATTACTTACATGCAATCTGCTACATCATTTGTTCTGTGACTGTCCAAACAACAGCAGAGAGGCTTGTTGTAGTCTACTGCCACCCGCTGGTTTGACAGAACATGACACACATTTTATATAATTTCACTAAAAGTGCTTCATGTGGCTGGAGCGCTCTCCACTGCCAACAACATTAAACACACATAAACATGTGCAGAGGAGCCAGATGAGCTCTTGCTGAGTTCTTTCCTCAAAGCCATCTTGATGTGTTAAGGGATGAGAAAACATTTTGTTCTTCAGACCAGATTTTCAGCCATCCTTAGATTTTTATATCCCAAGTGATGTGACTAGATTTGAACTAGATCTGAACAAACAAACAAAATCAGTGATTCACTTTGTCTATGATAAGAAAATTATGCAGTATTTTTTCAAAATAAATAATTGTTTAAATCATGTCAGTCTAAATTGTAAAAAAAATTAATTTTATTATTAGTATTATTCGGAAAAGCCCAACAAATCCACCTTCAACAAGCACTTGGCAACAGTGAGGAAAAACTCCTTTTAACTAAAAACACCTCCGACAGACCCCGGCTCTTGGTAGGCGGCCTTCTGCCTCGACCGGTTGGGGTGAGTGGATAGAGGAGAGACAAAAGAAGAAAAGCAACAAGACACAACAATCAAACACTGATCAGGTCAATGTGGCTGGTGACTGCTCATCAGAAACATGAATTTCCAGAGTCATGGATTCCTACAGAAAGGTACAGGGAGGGAGGAGACACTATGGGAGAGAGGAGACACAAAGTTAGTGATGTGTAATGGTGCATATAAATGCATAGAGAGTGATAGGAGAGGAGAGGAACTCAGAGCATCATGGGGTCCCCCAGCAGCCTAGGCCTATAGCAGCATAACTAAGGGAAGGCTCAGGGTCACCTGATCCAGCCCTAACTATAAGCTTTATCAAAAAGGAACGTCTTAAGTCTAATCTTAAAGGTAAAGAGTATGTTAGGAGAAGGATTTTAAATTCTATTCTGACTTTTACAGGGAGCCAGTGGAGAGAAGCTAATATGGGAGAGATATGATCTCTCTTGCTAGTTCCTGTCAGTACTCTGGCTGCAGCATTTTGGATTAACTGGAGGCTTTTTAGGGAATTATTGGGACATCCTGATAGTAAAGAGTTACAGTAGTCCAGCCTGGAAGTAACAAATGCATGGACCAGTTTTTCAGAATCACTTTGAGACAGGATGCTCCTGATTTTGATTTTGGTTGATATTGTTCAAGTGAAAGAAGGCTGATCTAGAGACCTGGTTTATGTGTGATTTAAAGGACTGGTTTTGTTGGAATTTAGAAGTAAGAAATTACAAGTCTTCCAGGCATTTATGTCTTTAAGAAGTCTGACCAATTGATTTGATTCATCTGGGTTCATAGATAAATATAACTGAGTATCATCTGTGTAGCAATTATTAGTTTCCTAATAATATTGGTTAAGGGGAGCATGTATAAAGTGATGAGAACTGGACCTAACACAAAGCCCTGTGGAATGCCATGAATAACTTAGGTTCTTATGAATAACTCCTCTTGAGATGATTTTTGAGTTATATCTAATTTAGCTGGTCAGGGGGTAGATACAGTCTCTATGGGGTACTGGGACTTTTGATTGGGTAGCAGCTGCAAAGAGACCGGAGAGAGATGTGTAAGACTTTGACCCTGTGTCCTGGTCTCAGCTCTGGGTTGTCACAATTTAGGTTGACTAATAAATGAGAGCATATCTTTCAGAGTAATTGACAATGTAAATAATCTTTAGTTGCCTTAATGTGACACCTGACAGAGCCTTTCCACATGTGCCCAGGTTTGGAACCAGAAAATACACTGAAGCATAACGTCACCAACTGTTCATTAGGTTTACTTCTCCCAGACATCTGGGAACCCATTCAAAGTTTATGTCTTGTTGTTTTCCTACAAACTGCTCTGAAACAGTCTTTACAGACTCCCTCTTAGAATAAATGCATGAATGAATGAATCATCATACCCAAGAAATGACTGCTATTCTACACAATCACACTGAACTTGTTTAAAATTATAATATATACCAAATTCATTTGGACATTTTTATTTGTTTCCCTTCATGATGACCCAAAAGTCAGTGTAATGAGTGTCATGCCACACATACATAATGTTCTACTGAAAGAGCCTTTTTATTTTTGTCTTTTGAAGGATTCACATTTGGATTGGTTACCTTGAAAAAAAAAACAAAAATTATAAGATTCACAAAAATATTCTGTCCTTTACAGTGTTCAGATTTTTTGCACAATTGCCACACAAATTAAAATACACAGATAACACCAATAGTTCACAACAAGGTGTCTGTATTCTCATGATTCAGTTCTCTGAACATGCAACATTAAGCTCAGCACTCTAATTTGGCACGAGAGAGAGCTTTGACGGAGAAACCAGTCCAAATAATAAAGGTGAATTAGACAAACGCTCCGTCCGGTGTCTGTAGATGTTGTAGGTGTGCACTCCCCTGCTACACCATATACTGTATATATTTCCGAGACAGAACATTTATAAGCCATTGCATGCATTCATTATATCCACAAAAAACAGAAACCTGTAGAAGCTTTCCTAACAATATGGAATAGGAATCCAGAGCCAAACAAAGGCCTTCTGAAGAAAAATGCTATTGTTCATTTTTATATAGCCCTCATTAGTTTGATCCTGATATCTCAGACTAAGGCAACTTTCCTTTCAAAGGAAATCAGGGTTTCAATGTCTTTTTTGGCCAGTCTGGTTTATAACTAACAAGAAGACATCACAGTGATGGGGACAGATATTTTTTATGCAATCTGAATATCTCAACTCTGCCTCGGCATGCCCATATACTGGGCGAAGTGGTGGTTAACATCTGCTGAATATGAAGGTAAAATTTGTCATATGAGACATAAAAACAAGAATTTATACACTCACATTTGTATAACAATGTGACAGTATGTTCCTTCTGTGTCAGACCCCACTGTAAATTCAATTTGTTGATGGCAAACAGGACACTTTTTTGCCTTACATTGAGGTAAGTCTCATTTTTACCTGGCTCATGACCCAATACGCATTACACAGTATAGGAATTACTGAAAACATTATGATCAACATGACCTTGTACCTGTAATTTGTGAACACCTTCAATGACAATGTACACATACTTTTCAGTGTTTATGTTGGTGTGTTGGCAAAAGCTTGTCAAACTACATGTTTCCATGACCCAACATTGTACACAGTTACATGTAAATATACTGTAACACAATTTTCTATATGCACCATTGCTGATAACAAACTTACTGGACAAGTATTGTGTAATCGCGTGCTTGTGAAAACAGTTATAAATGCCAAGGATTTAATTTCAGATGAGACAATATTGCTTAGGGACCCCTGTGACCTATAATATTTTATGCCCTCAAAACAAGTTCAACACTGAGAATGACTCACAAAATACCAAATGTCTCTGAATATATAATTCAACTTTTTTACTATTGACCTTTCACATATTTCAGAAAAAAATCACATTTTTCAGGCAAGCCCTCTCAAATCACTGCCACAGCTGAGGTTCCCACCAATCAGAGTAACAGTGACAGATAAATGTTTATGGTCTCAGACACTTAGTTCGAGTTCTACACAAAAACTGTTCATAATGCCCCACATTAAAAACAACAACCTGTAGGAAAACAGCACAAGAGAGGTAGAAATTTGAATTCCAAGACCTATGATCCACAAATAGTTGGATGTTTCCTTAATTTAGCATGCTAATTATCAATTGGCTGCACAGTAAGAGAAAACAAAAGCATACTTTTGGCACAACTAGAAGACGCAATCACACTCAGCAAGCCCTCGACCCAGAAGGATATTTACACTGCTAATGCTCCACCGTGGAAGAGATTCTGCCCTGCTAGGTGGCCACTTCCTCACGTGGCAGATTGAGCCTCACCTCCCCTCCTGCTGCTGTGGAGGCTGAGTAAACCGCTGCGGTGAAAACAGATGAAGGGCTGTTGGTCTCCATGGTGAAGAGCTTGCAAGGTCCCGGTAGAGTCGTGTCAGGAGCCTCCTTTTCTGGGCTGGATGCCTGGGAGGATCCAGGGGAGGAAGTAGGACTGAGCTGCACAGCTGTAGTATCCTGCAGTGTGTGTTCACTGGTCTCTATTTCAAACGCTGCCCCACCAGCCAGCCCTCCGGGCCCCATTAACCCCATTCCTCTGCTGCCCATCTTACCCCTGCATGAGCTGTGAGGAGGGGGGAGGCGACTGCACACACAACAGGCCCCGAAAAAGGAAAAGGCCACCAGCAGTAGGACAGGTCCAATGATGATTGGGGGGTTGGCAGAAGGCACCAGTGTGCTGAAGGCGAATGCTCCCACCAGAGTGATGTTGAGTCCAGCCAGCATGATGCATAGGCCACAGGCACAGCAGAGCGCTGGAGAGGGCAGGCCATGAGGGCGAGACTTCCTCCTCTTCTTCTTCTGGGGCTCCTTTTTAGGAAGAGGGGTGCTGGTGTTTCTATCAGTGATAACCATGGCTCTCTCTCTTCCTCTGTGTTATTATATCTCCCTGTGCTTCAGTCCAAGTTCTTCCCCATGGCAATGTTTACATAAAGTGTGTCCATTTCACAATGTGGCAATATCTTTCTCTGGAAATGACAACACATGACAGCTGTAAGACCCACACAATGAAAGAAACACTGCCTCTGATGAGTGCACTCACAACACTGCTCTTGTTTTGTGCACGAGCACTGATGCTCATTGTACGCATAGTGAAGGGTCCTTGCTGAGATAACCTGTGTAATCCATCAGTGAGCTCTGGGCATTCATCACTTTGCTCTGCTACTCCTCTACATTACAAATATCTAGAAAGGTTGTGGTTTGACATATTACAGTACATCTCTGATAACCTACAAGAAACACCAGCCACTGTGTTGGCATCTGAATGGCACTGAAGCGTTTGCTCTTTACTGGTGACACCTGAAGCTGTTCCCACATCTGAAAGGCCTGCTGATTATTAAATGGCTTCAAATATATTTTGAAATACCATTTAGCTTTTTCAAATAGAACACCAACATGTAAAACAACACATAAGAAAAGCACAGGGAACCTACTGAGACAAAGATGATTAAGTAAAGAAATTAATGAAATGAATATTGAGGAGCAACAGTTAGGAGGTATTAATAGCACCATTGGTAGGAAATACTGACTTTATGTTGTAGTACTAAATTTAACATCATTGATCAGAATCATTACTTATTTTCTCTGGATTTGGAAAGTAAAATGTATGCAATCTCACTGCTTCATTCGTGCCAGTTTGGCCACGTAGGGAATAGCATTCATTATTTACAATAGTTACAACAAAATCAGCCCTTTCGACCCAGCATGCACCCATTCAGGAGCATACGGTGCAAATACAGAGAGAGCCTGTGGGAAAACGGTCATTTTTGCTAAACGTGTATGTCAGTAACCTAAATCTAAGCATTAACTCTAAGCATGAATTTAACACATTTAAATGCATGCCATACGCACTGCTGCATTCCTGTAAAATGAAATCATAAAAACATCATCTTACCTTTTATGTCTGTATACTGAAGGTCTTTGCATTGTTTAATCGGTGGATTTTCAACGCGAATCCCAGACTAATTACTCGGTGATATTAATGAGAGGTTGAAAGGACGCACAAAGACCAGACGAAGGATTTTCATGCTGCTTTTGCGTTACAGTCCTGAGGACACAAGTTATGACAGCCATTCAATCAGTGGCCAGCGAAACACAAAGCAGAGCGACCCGACCCGCTAAGGAAAATAAAATCTGAGAGGACAGAGAAGATCACTTGGGTGAGATGGCATTTCTTCTGTGTTGGCACACAGACGTATCACCGTGCGCCGCTCCTGATGTGGACCGAGACGCACGTAACACCTGACAGGTCATCCCACAACAGAAATTGAGGGAATGTATAGGAGGATTCTCTCCAGAAGTCGGTGTGAAGCCGTCCTGTTCAACTATTTTTGACCTGCCGCCTATAGCATGTTCCTCCTCCCATCCACCGATCCATTCTTTACCACTAATCAGCCGGATGTGCGCGCGCGCTCCTGTGAAGAGGATGGTGAAGGTGATGGGTGTTGGTGCAGATTCAAGACGAACGCGCAAACATTTGATTTATTCCCCATTTCTTTTGAAATGTAATCTCAATTCTCCTTCTAAGTCTAAACTGTGTATTTTATTTAAAATCCTTCCCAGGTTACAGCTGCCTGCTCGAGATATTGATGAAACTGATACAGATCAGGATCAGCATATTGACAATGAGTCATTAAATCACAATAAGATAGTTGCAAATGATAAGAAAGGTTTGATTGGTTCTTACAATAATTAAAGTACACGTTTCTAAATTTTGATATAAGTGATTTATAAAAAGGGAAATGATTTCTTAACAGCTGCAATTAATGACATTATTTACAACATATATAAATGGTGGTATAAATGGTTTCTTAGATAGCATTAAAGCCTCAAGGTAAACACATTCTTGGCCTTGAAAGCAGCACTTTAGCGAAATAAACCCAACTCAAGGTCCACTAACTTGTCTTTTTTCTTCATAATTCTTCCAGTGTCTGTTTTGTTGTAAAGACAAAATTACCCAATGTCAATTTATTATCTAGCTCCAGAACTTTTAACCATATCAAATTATCTTCATCAGCAAATTGCAGCTGGCAAACAATCTCAACTCAGGATGAACTTGCTCTTTTAGAGGTGGAGCTTTCACTTGTATTATATGGTATTCATCAGCCAAAATGGATGAGGAGCAGTCCCAGATGTGAAGCCTTACAAGCGGTCAGAATAAATGAAGGTTTGAGGGTCTACAGTTTCATAACAACTGAGCTAACTCCATCCGCTGATGGAGACTGCGTGATACGATCAACAGCTCCAAGAAGATTTAATGGACTTGTCAGCTGCTGTTTCGAGGGGTGGGGATGAAGAGTTTGGTTCACCTCTTTTGGTCACCATCAGAAAGACTAAACATAGCTGGCATTTTGACTGTTTATTTGACAGAATAGGGCAAAATGTGGTTTCTTTTTTAAAATTTGCTGAGCCTCTGTGAGATGAGTGTTTATATATTAATGCCTCTGGTCTATGATTGCATGCTGGAGTGGGCATGAACTGGCCATGGATGGATGGTTTAAAAATGATAAATAAATAAAGGAAGTCCTCAAACACTGAGGCTTGAATTGAAGCAATTTTTCCTTTTTCAGTGTCAACCATCAACGTCTTCTGGATGATGTTCAATCAACTGTTTATTATGTGTCCCTCTGCCAGTTAACTTCATGCAGACTCAGAAGGACTTCGGCGAGGCGTTGTGATTTGAGACCTGACAATCAAACTGCTAGTTGTCATCAAGGCACTGCAGACTCCTTGGACTCCTGTTGCTGAGACCCATCATCGTTATTCAGCCTCACAGCACGTCACACTTTTCGTCTGAGCACAGCGTTCTTCCCCACGCCACTTCCCATGCAGCATCACTTCTGCCTGTGCTGTCCTGAATATCAATGTATTATATTACACTGCGGTGGTGCAGCTCACTGTGTGCATGCGATGGTTGTAGCTATTTGCATATCTGAACACATGCATACCCATTTGTTTAGCTCTTTCTACATACAAACCAGAGAGCTTGAGCTGTACTGTGTAAGAGTCCCATCATCACATAATGACCATAATAATTTTTTAATTGGAGAATGAAAACATGGGGCGATGATGAGATGAGCTGCACACAAATGGGACTGCTGGGCTTCATTAGCTTCCCTTAGTGTCAGGAAGTACTTCACTAACAATTCCAATTTAATATTTGCATATAATTATAAGACCACATGAGTACAATATCATGAGGTGATCTCAGCAAATAAGATTATACAACAACGCTACAGCAAAAATAATGAATCAGAAAGACTCAAAATACCCTTTTTCCCACATTTGAAGGAATCTTAATGAAGAAGATTTAGTAGAGAAGATTAAATAATAGTGGTCAGTCAGCTCGTGTGGTAAGATGACATCATGGCAAGTCTTGATCAGGTGACAGCTTTAGTTTCCGTCTAGATAAGATGTCTGGGATGTCTGAAGAAGTTCTGCAACAGAGAAGAGTCAGAAAGTCATGTAAGCACAAGTATCCTCACCCTTACTTCAACAATTAGCATATTCATATATTATCTGGCTAGCCATCCCTGGTAGGCTAGTGGTTAAGGCGCATCGCTTTTGCTGCTGCGGCCCTGGCTAGTTTGGATAGTTCAGGTCAAGTTGTACTGTACTGTTGTACTGTCTAAAACCTAGCGTGAACTAAAATGCATAAGAGCAGAATGGATGTTCTGGTTGAGCTGTTGTTTTATTCAAAAGCTAGAAATCAATACTTTCTAGAGCACTTTACAGTTGTTCCACAAATTTTTCAAGATGGTATAACAAATAAGAACAGTTTACTTTTACACTTTTTATTTTTATACTGCAATACAATGACCTTAATTGTGTAGCTTTCTAAATATTAAGCATTAAAAAGCCATTCTTTTTAATAAATGCCACTCAAGTCCAATATGTATATGTTTGGTGTCACACTGGTCAACACATGGCATGCATGGTTGACCTAATCTGGCATGAGAGAAGTCTAACCAGTATTTGGGTTATCATAACATGTGATACATTTTGAAAGTCCCCTTTTCTCCTGTAAATGGTTTGGACAAACAATAGAGAAGAACTTGCTCTTACATAAGGTGTATTCTACTGACAATTGTGCTGTGAGAGAAAATACATTTAAATTCCAAAAATATTATATGTACTTCCAACAATGTCGTGATATAATCAACGAACTATCAAAGTGCAGCAGACACAGAATAAATACATTTTTCATTATAGCATAACTTCATTAAGAACATGCCCTGATTCTGTCCATGAAACAGAACAGTAACCCAGTTTTTAATTTTTGGCACCTCATCAAATCCCATTGCATTTAGGTCAGATTATTGCACAGTGGTACTCAGTCTTGTCTCATGTTAGCGTGGTATCATTACCTTATGACAACAAAGTAAGAATAGTAAAAGACTGTTCCAAACATCAAGATTGACTATGAACCTAAGCCTCAGGTGTTGAATTCAGCAGTATTAAACACCCATTTCGCTCCCAATCTTGATCCTTATCTTTTCTGTACAATATTAATATCACACCACTTCTTGCTCTTGTATATAATATAAATCATTAATCCACAAATGCATACAGTTCGTAGGAGACAGACATTGTTGGTTTGAATCTCATACCCTTCATCTGGGTTGGGCTCAGCCCTTGGTCCGCCCTCGACAAAGGTTCCCATACGACTCTTAGAACGTTCCAGATTTAGTTGACTCTGAGTCCCTGCAAGACCACAGGGCAGCAGATAAGCATACAGCAACATAGAGTATGCTGTTACTTTTCATCAGTGTGTGGAAATTGTACTATGATGGTAGGCAGTACAGAGAGAAAACAAAATCTCAAAAAAAGGCATACACATAATTGGGTTGTCCATTAAATGAAGCTGAAATGTACAAGGCATAAAAATCTGGAACGTCTGTATTCCATCTCATATGAGTGTTTGAATGCAGTCCAATAGTCTTTTTATCATTTTTCTACTTTTCCACTGCACCCCATGAGATGGCTCGTGCTCTGCAATACCCAGCTAGACACAATATCACTTTTACTGGTAGCTCTCCAATGTCCAGATTGGTAATCATTGTAAGATCGGTAATTAGCAACTATTGGACATAGACACAATGGCTCAGCATCAAGTAGCTGAACACAGTACATTTGAAAGTTACATGATAGCTGTATTGATTAGTGTCTTTTCAATTTAGGGAAAATCTGGCTTAGACAATCATACTCACCTTCTCGTCTTAGTGCCTCTATCGGCTGTTCAGGAGCAGGATTGGCAGGCGTGGGGTGCACTCGGACATTTCCTGGGAAGTTAAGAAATGTTCTGAGAAAAAATTTTTCTTGGATAGAACAAATATAATTCTTTTAGTAATGTAGTGAACAAATACATTAAACAAGTCATATTTATTATAGCATGGTGCATGTAATGAAACAAAGCTGTTGAAGGTTATTGACGTTTATATAATTTTCAAATAATAAATAATGATATCAGCCTTGTGATAGACTGGTGACCCATCACGGGTGTACCCCGCCTCCTGCCCAGTGTCAGCACGTAAGGGCTAATGGATGGATGACTAATTCAAACAACTTACCAAAAGATGGAAGAATATGGTTGATGTTCAGCCAGGCTCTTATGAAGGGGTAGATCGATATGAGCAGGCCTGGAAACAGAAGGCATCATTAATTTGATAGGTGATAAAGTGACACTGGTTTTCCTACAGTACTATTGTCATTATTGGTGGAATAAATGTCTAGAAACAGACTAATTGCTGTATTCATGGAAATATTTGTCACATTCATATTTATTTTTTGTCCTAAATTTGTACTGTAGTGTACTGAAGAAAAACCACGGGTACAGGAAAATGTTTTGTACTGCAAGCTCTAAGAAAGATCTCATTATAAATTTATCACAATCTGGACACTTCAAAATACAAACTTTAACTGATGCCTGCGAGCTACACCAGGAGGTTTTCCATAGAAGTTCCTATAATTATAGACATCACAACCAACAATAAGATAGTTTGATGAAATACAGCAGCTATTAAAAGAACAACAACAGCATGTAATCAAATACAGTATATGATGCTTTGTTCTGTTCAAGTCGAAGTATAAAGTAATATTGAAGCACAGGGCTTGTGTGCCTCTCAGTAGCACAGTGCTCCCATTCAACACCGTTATTGATTTCCCTTATAAGCCAGAAGAGCCTTGGCAGGCCCTGACAGTGACTGTGATGCATGTCTGTGCTTAAAATGTCATGAAACTGCAGAAGGAGTGAAAAGATTCTGCCAAGAACACAGTGTTCATACTCATTAGTCAGCCTATGTGTTGGAGGAGGCATCATGGCACATAAGCCCCAAAACACATAATTAGATGCTTAGCTGCAGAAGTGTTGAGAGAGTATCCATGTCAAACTGCTGTGCACAGTTTTGATTTGCCAAATTTATGCACACATAAATAAATAAATGAATTATTTAAAGCTGATTAAATCATCAGTGAGAATGTATTTCAAATTAACTATATATGGTTATGTTGTCTTCCTCACATTAAAAACCCTGGCCTCTTCCTGTTGATGCACTTTACCATGGTAAAGTGACTCTCCCGGCTATCAGCTGGTTCCAGTTACACTGTTGTATCAGATGATCACATGGATAGAAGAGTGGATGGAAAATGTGACAGGCCATAGGGTTTTTGACTTTTTGACTTTTTGGCAAATCTTCATCAGTATGCCTGTTGCATATGCGTGTGTCCTTTTCATACTAGATTATTTTTAAACCCTTGAGTTCTGTGGACATTGACTTCTCTTTCTCATTGTTTGTGATCTCATAAAACTGACTGCTAGATGATAAAAAAATAATATTAATAATTGCTGGAAAATCTTTACATTATGCAAATACAATGCAAATCGGTGCACAGTGGATTGGGCAGTAGTCGTAGGCAGGGGCCCCGACGACCTGATCTCTGGACACGGAGACTAGCCCTGGGGACATGGAATGTCACCTCGCTGGTGGGGAAGGAGCCCGAGCTTGTGCAGGAGGTTGAGAGGTACCGGCTAGATATAGTCGGGCTCACCTCCACACACAGCTTGGGCTCTGGAACTTTACTCCTCGAGAGAGGCTGGACTCTCTACTACTC